GCACCTCTACGAGGTAAATCCACAGATTGTGCTGAAGGCTGAGATTCCTTACTGACTGAAGTGAATTTCAGATATAAAATAAACTATGCTGTCTGGCTGTTAGTGATCTTTTTTGTTTTGTTATTTTTTACAAAGTGAAAAAAAGCAGAAGTAATAATAATAATAATAAACAAAGCCCCCGCTTTTAGTAGTGAAGAATTGCTAGTGCCATCTTCAATTTTCTGTGAAGCAAATTGGTTTAAATCAGTAAGCCAGGTAGCTTGGCTTACATTTAACTTGTAACTGCGTCCAGAAAAAAAAATCAGAGTAAAACTCACAGAAGAACTTAAGAGGATAACCATAGTATAAGTACCAGCTGAAGATGACTTTTTGATATGCCCCTTGGACTGACACGGATGACTAAGGAATTGTGTCTCTGCTGAGTCCACAGGGGTAGATAATGTCACTTCTTACGGCCTTCTGCTCTCTCTAGGAAGACGATGTTCAGACATATATCTCATTTCAGTGTCACTTGAAACAAGTACCCTACCCTAAGCTCATTGAAGTCAATGGAGGCTTTTCATTAACCATGCAGTGTTTTAGGTCAAGCTTCAAGGCTCTTACTTCAGCACCTGTTTAGCCATATGCATGGCAACTGTCATCCAGGGGACTGCCCCTGTGCCCAAACTGATAAGAAGTCAAGGCTTAATTGAAGAGCCTCAAACTTTACAGTCATAATAATAATGGAAATAAAAATCAGAAAAGATAAACCAGTCCTATCTATTATATCTCTTAATTATACAACTTTTACTTGAAGAGTCTTGAAGAGAGAGAAGGGAACACTTTTGCACATATATATTCTAGTATAGTACAAAAATGAGAAGCTTATATGCAACAATTAGAGTCAATAAGGCTAAGTAAGGAATACAAGTTGGGTTACCCAGTGTCTCCTCTTGCTGAATGTCTCTAGAGGCAGATCATCAAGATGAAAGGCTAGATACATAAGCTGAACTGATATTTAGATTACATGAATTAAAATTATAACAAAAACTTTAATTGAAAAGGGCTGAATAACAGTATGCAACAAATACGTTTTCAACTTGTCTATCCACTGAAACATCACCACATTGTCAGTCACATTTGTACAAGTCCTATGTGGCCTCTTACCCATATGTTCAAGCACACATTGAATAGGATCTTTCAAGGACATCCTTTCACAGACAGCTTTTATAAAGAAACAATATAAATAGAATAATAAAAATGTCATAGCTTAGGAGAGGCAGGGGGGAGATTGCAAAGTGAAAAACAGCAGCACAGTATCAGTGTGGACATGAGCCAAGAGAGACAAGAAGAGCTTTGTTGATCAGGTTACTCCTGCCATAAACAAACCTTCTCCATGTTGTGCAGAAGTGGAAGCAAACGGACTTTTGTGCAGTGGGGGGGGGGGGGGGGGCACAATGAAAAGCTGTTATTTTTCAATTGTGCCAAAAAATTTTGTTTCCTTTGTCTCAAAAAGAGATCTAGATTAATCCAAGGTGAAGAATCTTAAAAACTTATATTTTCAGAGTAATTTCTAATTTTATATCCTTTTTCAGGAAACGGGAGCAGAGAACCTGTTTAACGTACACACTTTTTTGACCACCACTGTGCTCAAAAAAGCATTTACCTGTCAGTCTGTTGGCCCTCAAATTAAATAATGTCTGACTTCAAGTCTTTTTGTTTATATTTGGCAAAAGGCATCAAGGTTTTGTCTAGATCTGCTTTTTGGCTCTTTTCCAAACTATATATTTCCCTGTATATCTGAAATGTTGCATAATATGTGGCATGTCAGTTTACCATGCAGACCCTCTCCTGTGCATCAGTCTCAAACACATTTGCATCTGGTGCAAATTTCTTGCAACTAAACGTGACCTATGTCAAATAACCAGATCATCAACTCATCTATTTGGAAAACACAAGGCTGTATGTGCTGTCAGTTTTGCTGCAATGAGCTGGATGTTCTGTATGAACATATATCCTACATAAGTTTTCTAGATTATGTACTTCTAAATTTTGAGAAACTTGCCTACCAGAAACTTGCCGGAAGATAATTTTAATGAAAGAAACTATTTAAAGCACTGCCCTGAATAGAGTTGATTTTTACCATATATTCAGGCACTCGCAAAATCAGAGTACAAATTCCTACAGCTTCCTCAGAAAGCAGCTATCAAGAGGATGAAATATGAAGTGAGAACAGAAGCATCATGTAAGGTGGAGGAAGGGAAGCAGTAGTCACCAGGCCTAGTGCTGACCCTGGAAGCTGGCTGTCCCTTAGCAGCCCATATTGATAACGGAGAGAAAGCCATTTTGGTAGATGCACAGCACCCAGAGTAGTGTAGGTGTGAATGCCCTCTGGTTGCCTCTGGAGGAGACCAGTAAAGCTGCCATCCTTCAGCTGAAGTCAGTCTTTGTGAATGCACTCCCTAATATTTGAAATATCACCTTCAACTAGACTATTAACAGTATTTTGCATGGGCAGAAATACTGAATAGAAGTAATTTCTGATCATAGGTTAATTAAAGTGCTAGAGACTAAAGCTGGTCACACTTTTTCCTCTTGCATGTAATACTCAAACATTTAAAATTTTACAAAACCTGGATAGAAGAAAAGAATTTTCTTTCATATCAACTTTAGTAATTACTTGACTAGTTAGTAATGACTCAGGGAAGCAGATATCACATATTAAAGAACACAGGAATGAAGATGACATGGTAGATCTTGGAGTTGTACATATCCTTCAACTGAGAAATGACTATCAACAAAATTTATCGTTTCGTTATAATTGTTATTTCTCCCCCCTTTCCACTCAGCTGAGTGAATGTAATCTGTTGCAAACAAGAGATGTTATTTAAGCTCTTGTTTCCTACTGTTATGTATGCTTTAAAAATAAGAATAAAAGAAAAAACGTTTCCTTATTGTCTTTGTTCTCTATGCACTAGTTCAGTAAATTCTTTGATAGAAAAAAATAGGAAGGAAAACTTTAAAATGAACCATTATCAGGCACTGTACCCCAGAAAAAAAATCCATAGAACAATCTAGAAAAAAAAGCCAAACAACTATATGCCATTAATTTATTTCTATAATAAGTTAATATCCAAAATCTGATTTTTAGGAAAGAGTGTGAGCTGCCAGCCAACAGTGCACCTTTATTCAGTAGAGTGCCTAGGCAAATGGTTAACTTTAAGCAAATTTTTCAGTTTCACTGATCTGAGAACATTTTCCTGGGGTTAGAATGAGAACCTGATATACAGGCCTGGATTTAAACATATGCTGATTCATAGTCTGAATATGAATCAGTATCATTATGCCTTTAGGATCCATTCATAATAGCTGAAACTGTAGTCCAAGACCACAGAGTCAGAAAGTATGAATCCTTACCCTTCACACTTTCATCAGTGATGAGATACAGTCAGCATCAGCTCAAGGGATCTGGGGGGTCCTGTCAAGTTGATTCCTTTTCCTAGTTTAAATCTGATTTCTTTATATGGTGATAAAAACAGGGTTGATTATACACATATAGATATATTTTTTTTTAATATCCAGTTCTTTTCTGGCCTACCAAAGGCAGGTATTATTGCCAATTAATTGCTTCCTTTATTATTATCCTTTTTTTTACTGTTGATGTGAAAGTTGTGAATTATCATACATAGTGACAATGACACAATCAAGAGATATGTTGAAAAAAAAACAATATGGGAATACAGAAGTATTTATTAACATGACATACAAATATGCTGGTTTATTTAGATTATGCAGAAGCTTTAAATGTCTGTGGCCAATAAAACTGAAGTTTAAGATGCTAAAATAACAGATAAATGAAGCAGATAATAATGTTTATGAAATAGTTCCATTTGTCATTTAAGGCTGTAGATTTGACATGAAATGTATGACACATAAATAACAAGATACATTATAGATCACTCACTGTTCTGATTTTCTGTCAGTAAAACTTCTCTACCAGTCTGAAAGAATAAAAGGGATCTTCAGGCTTTTGAGATAGGAATCACCATGTGCTGAAATGTGGGATGTTTGACAAAACAGCACATAGGAGAAATAAATATCAAACCAGAATGACTGAAAAATTATAGTGAAACATGAAACTCAGTAGCTTACCCTGTAAAGAAATTTAGCATATAGAGGATGAGAAGCCATGCTGGAGCACAAAAATAAGAGAGGATCAATATTGATCCTCTGGTTGTTGGGAGCGGAAAGTCTCCAGAGGCTTTTGAGAACTCCAGCATCAAGTCACGAATACAAGGACAAAAATACTGCTCTCAGTAGATATGATCTATGCCCTGCGGATGTCAGGTCAGCACCTCAGAGAGACTTTTATCTCCTAATAAATTCTTCAGAAGAGCAATGATTTTGACTCTGAAATTCTCCGAATGCATTTTCCTGCTGGACACTCTTTACGCTGTATTCCTTTACACTGTCGTTTGAGGCAGAGCACACTGTGCTATTTGTATGACAATGCACCAGCCTTTGTCCTTAGCAGAGGCTCAGAAAGGCTTCTTGCACGGAAGTGAGGAAACAATATAAGCCTGATTCTGGGACAGCAGTGCGGAGGAAAAATGGCTCCTGAGCTTAACAAAGATGAGCAGAAGGAATCCTCCCACTTACAGTTCACCTTGTTTATCAGGTGTTGGGAGGGAAAAAACACCTGACACATTCTCAGGAGACAGTATGACAGTATCAGATGGGCTGCAGGATTTGAGATTGTACCTCAAGCAGGGGAAATGCTGACACAGGAAGAAACATGTTGCTATCCCACTGAAGATCTCCAAATTTTAGCACACACCTGCTTTAGGTCCCTGAACACTGGTAGGCTCCTCTGAAGTTCCTCCAACACCTACTCTGTATAAACACCTGATTCAGACTGATCAAAAATTTCCAGCAAACTAAATGGAAAATTTCTCAAATGATTGGATTTTCTTCTTCCACTCCATTGAAAGAAAGAGCTTTAAAAAAAAAAAGGAAAAAAACAAGGAAAAAAGCATGTAAAATTCAAAAATTCATAATGATTCTTTTTGTAATGGGAAAAACCCACTGTGACAATCTTAATATATAAAAAAGGCTGTTTTTCCACATTGTATCTCACTGTGAAACTACACATCTTTTAGAAGGTGAAAATTGTTGCAAAGTGAGAGGGAAATAATTTTGGGAGACCCTTGTCAAATTATTAGCAACACATACCACAGAGAACCACAAAGAAAAAGAAAATCTCATAAAATACAAAAGGCCAAAGCTCTGAAAGAAACTTCTGTCTTATAATTAATTTTCTACATTCCATCTCTGTTCTCAAGCACAGAAACCTTTTAAATTAAATTATCTTCCAGTAGAGAAATACATGGAATTATAATGCACAAGAACACATTGCTACTTTAATATTCTACACTATTTATACGACAGCACAAGACATAGTGTTTTACTTTTAAATTCTGGCAACCCAAATAATTTTAATTTCTTAGGCATTTATCTATGTCAAATTTAGAACACATTAAATTCACCATAACATCCTGAGATCTTTTTGCTCAGAAATATATCAAGTCAGAATTCCATTCATGCTGCATTTACATTTATATCCGTTTTAAAGACCCTCTTGTCTGCCATAATGATTTCAAATGATCCTCTTGAAAGAAAGTAGGGTCTATATTGTATTTTGAAAAGCTGATTATTCAAAAAGACCTTGATTTTACAGCAAAGTACACTGTATGACACAGAACCTCAGCTGGCTAATATTGTTGTAATTTCATTTACAGCAGTCAAGTTATGTGGGTTTCCCTCAATTGGGGATCTAGTCATGAATATTTTGTGTAATTAGAGGATACGTACTTTAAGCAGTAATACATAGAGCTCTATTGTATATATTTGACAAATAATTCCATACTTCAACCAAATGTGGGAACTGTGAGTTTGGAAGCTAAGCATATCAGTTATACCCAAACTTTATCCATATCCTTCTTTTAATTTTTGCAGATCTTGATTTAACCATCCATTGTCTTCGAGATTAGAATCATAGAATCAACCAGGTTGGAAAAGATCTCCAAGATCATCAAGTCCAACCCTTGATCCAACACTGCCATGATTACTAGACCATGGCACTAAGTGCCACATCCAGTCTCAGCTTAAAAACCTCCAGGGACAGTGAATCCATCACCTCCCTGGGCAGCCCATCCCGATGTCTGATTACTCCCTCTGTGAAAAATTTCTTCCTAATATCCAATCTAAACCTCCCCTGGCACAGTTTAAGACTGAGATTATCCGGGTTTATGCCATTGCATCTGAACACAGAATACTTTGAGGCTATACATAAATTTATATAGGTCAACACTAATTACCATGAAAAGACTCAGGTAGCTAAAGCTTATATTTTTTAATACCAGACCTGATTTTCACTGTCACCTGCAAGGATGGTATTGCACCTTGCCCATACAGTGAACAGTCCCATCTCCCTTTAGATTCTGGACATAGGTCTCAAGGAAAATTTACATGGTTCATAGGCCAGGGACAGATGGTATATTTCATCCCAGCAACACTTAACTCCTGTCAGTGATGGCAGATGAAAATGGGGTTTAGGGTTTTTAAATTAAAAAACCTGTATTATTAAAACCAGCTATAATCAGTTGGGACTGAAGGCCCATTTATGTTTTCATTTGCTGTGGTGAAGCATCAGAGTTATCCCATTGTGTACTGTGGCATTACTATAGCGTTTTATTCTTGTAAATAAGAACAGAATTTCTTTCTTAATCCTTTCTTTGAAACTAAGTGATCATAGCCTGAATTGCCACTGTGAATTAGAAAACTGTACGTCACCATTTAAACATATTCTACAGGTCTCACAGAACCCTTTTTTTGCATGCCTACACTGATTTTAGAGGATTTTAACATAAATCAAAAGCTGAATTAAAAAAGAAAGAAACTACTCTTCCTAATTTTAGTCTTTGGTGGGTGTCCTCTGTAGTGACAGTGTCCTTGTGGTTCATGTTGTTTCTAATGGTCTTAGATAGACACTCCTGAAAACCACTTCTTTGAAAAAATATAATCAATAAATAAACCTTTCTGCTAAAGCACATAGCTGTACAAAGAGAACAGAACAAAAGACAGCAGATGAAAACCATAGGTAGTAGCAGGTCTAACTCTGTCTTATAACAAAATTCAGATACAACTTCTGTGAACATTAAAGCAGTAAAAGGGGCAAAAATGCACAGTATATAATTTCAAAGTGACAACAATCAAAGTTCCTTGGAAAAGGAAGAAAAACATTACTCATTTTGTACTTGTTATGTAATTTCACTTGTCCTTGGACACATTTCACCTGCAATCACACTTCAAGCAGTTTGGTGTGGAATTTTTATTACTCCTTTATATTTTTTCATCATCATCACTATTTATTTTTTTAAATGTGACTGGGCTTGCCTGCTTCAAAGAGGTTTTTGAAACATCTGTGTGCATGGTGGACATGGCTATAGTCTCATAATCCTCCTCACGGGAGTGGAAATGACAAAAATGAAATAAAAACTGCAGGTCCCTTTGGAAGTTCTTATTGAGAAACCCGTAGAAGATGGGATTCACACAGGTAGAAATCATGGCAGTGAGGTGGCAAATCAGGAACAACAGGTTGTGGCTGCAGGTAGCAACAGGCAGAATTTCATGATTCCAATCAAACACGATATTGAAGATGGTGAGAGGCAGCCAGCAAACTGCAAATGCGACCACTATTGAGATCAGCATGATGTTGATCCTTTTGGTTTCAGAGGATCTGTACTTACTGTCTCTCATCTTGTCCATCATGTTGTTCCTTTTTTTCAACCGTATGTATATCTGCAGGAAATTCAACAAAGAGAAACACATGGAATAAATTAACCTACCACTGCCATCTTTGCAAGGATAAACAAACACCAGACAAGAGGATTGTGTTGCAAGAGGATTCTACCTTACCTTCAAGTAGCAAATAAATATAAAACAGAGTGGTCCAAAGTACTGAATCACCAAAAGTGTTGTAGTATAAGAAAGCCTGGCAGTGTCCAAGGGGAACAGGTCCAAGCACACATACTTGTCTTTATATTCGTCAAATGTTACGTTTCTAAAGGGCTCATCTGTTAACACGTGGTAGACCAGGAAAGGCAAAGAGGAAGCTGTGGCTAAAATCCATATGGCAGCAATCCCCATGTAAGCATGTTTGTTGTTCGGCCTCCAGCCACGGGGATTGATGATCAGCTGATGGCGCTCAATAGCAATGAGGACTAAAGAAAAGACTGAGACAGTGATGGAGGCACATTGCACAAAAGGGTTCAGTTTGCACATGGCCTCCCCAAAAATCCAGTGGTCCATTAAAGTATACACAAAGGTAAAGGGAAGACACATGATGGTCACCAGGAGGTCAGAAAAGGATAGATTGACAATGAGGATGTTGGTAACATTGCGCATCTCCTTTTGTTTTAAAATAATGACAATCAAAGCCACATTCCCAGAGACTCCCAGAATTATCACAGTCCCATAAGCCAAGGCCAGAGTGAAGACCATAGCCAAAGGCACGCGGCAATCCTCGTCCTCAAACTGCAAGATCTGCGAGTTCGTCTCCGAAAAATTCAGGTGACCGGAAATATTTCCCAGTAGGGTGAGGACCGAGGTATTCATGTTGTTTCCAACTCGATGCCGCCCTTCGCCGTCGCCGCTCTCATCCAGACCGCTCCGAGTTCAGGACGCGCCCATCGGTCCCGCAGCGGAGCCCCGGCCGAGCCCGCTCCTCAGCGCCGCATCTCCCTCGCACCACCTGGGAAGAAGGGAAGGAGCGGGGCCGGTCACCTCGGCACGGCGCCTGCCCCCGGGTCCCGCGGGAGCGGAGCCACCCGGCCCGGCCGGACCCGCCCGGCCCCAGGGCCCCGCGCCCGGCGGCGGGAGCGGGGCTGCGGTCCGCGGGAAGGAGGCAGAAAGCTGGACCGAAGCGCGGGACTGCAAGCGGAGACACGACCCCTGACCGGCCCGTTCCCGCCGGCACAAGTTACACGGAATAGCGAGCTGAGAAGCACTTTCAGACTTCATCGGCGCAGCCTTCACTTTATGCTTTACATCTCCTTTTCATAAATTTAATCCGCAAACGTCTGATTTCTCAAACTGCTCTAAGTGAAATGACATCCAGTCATCACATGAGGTGGGGAAAGCCCATCTGACCAATGTGAGGGGCAGAAAAATGACTCTAAAAATCGGTGCATTCTTTTTTCCCTAATGCATAGACTTGATGTTAAGTGACCGAGTGCCCACAGCAGCACTGGCACTGAGTCAAAAGCAAATCAGGAACTCTGAACAACTTAATCTCAGCTAACAGGGCTGTGCAGTACAGGAAGAACAAAACAAGACAAAAGATGGCAAAATTTAAACACTGAAGAAAATTTCTTTAGCCATGTAACACAAATAAGCATGCTTAAATAACCATCCTTTTACAAGGCCTTGGATTTTAAAAATTTGAAACTCAAGCATGTGTGTTCAGGAGGAAAATTAAAATATAAAATCAAATAAATTGATAAACAATTAATAAACAATTAATCAATAACCTGACACATCTTTACTTCAACTCACTATTAGTGGCACTGAATTCTGCACTGAGCCTGGAACTTTCCCTCTGCCCACTCCCATGAGCTAAATTTATTGTTCACTTAACCTTAGGTTATGGTAATGAAAGTAATGCCACTTAAAATTCACACAAGTCGGTTTCAAACACATCTCCATATGGCATTTATCACAAAAGCTGTAGAAACATTGCTTAATAAAATGTACTTCATTAAAAGTTACCCTGAATAGGTGAGATTTTGATCTTAAATGATACTCGATAGAAATCTCTGTGCCATCTAAGTCTCCGGAGAAGAATCATCTTTGTCTGTTACTGGCAGCAGACACTCTTTTAACCAGCCACATGCTGGGGACCAGACCTAGGGCTGCCTCCTCCCTAGGGCAGAGCCAGTGTGTGAGGGATGGGTTTGCAGCTCCAGCTCCTCCTGAGGGTCAGCCAAAGGATGACCATGCCAATGCCATGTCTTCTCACTGCTGCTGCCGTCATGAGCTCACCTCATCTCTGCTGGCACTTTATAATCACCATATGGCTGCATGAAACCACAACAGGCAATGTAGCTTGTGTGACATTTTACACAGTGAGAGTTAACAGTAGTGATTTCAGACAAAAGGCATCTCTGAGGTTTGGCTACGCTGATTTTCAAGATAGCTAGGCACACAGCTGGGCATTCTCTCTCAGACTTGCTGCCTCTGCGAACTAAATTTATTGGATCTTCTAGTCCACCAAATCTGTTTTAGGTTCCAATAAAGTAATTTCCACCCCCAAGACCTCTTGAAGCATCACTTCAGCCAGAGCCGGAAGTAGGTGCTTTACCCGAAGGGAAAGCGTGTGGGTGATGTGGAGGGCCAGGGCTTCTCAATTCCTGCAGTATGACTATATCATAGTTCGAAAGTCACATCTGGATTTAACTATGATCTTCACCATCACCTGTACAGCACGAGGTGGGCAGTCCAGCCCTGTGATCTGATGGGATGACAGGCAAGGAGGGAACTGGATAGGTTCTCTCACCAGCCGGGACCAAACTGCACCCAGCAACAGAGTGTCCTGGGTTTCAGGCTCTTGCTTTTTCTACTCCCTTAGACAAGCTCTGCTCTTGCTTATTTATTAAATATCAAACTCAAAACCAGAAAATGCTACTGCTCCTTCTTCCCTCACCTTTCCCCATAGCAGAGATGCAACCTAAGAGTATGTTTGGGAACCAGCTCAGAAACACAGCACTGCTGGCAAGTGACAAGGACTCCTTCTTTCCTGTCCCTCTCCAAAATGGACCAGATACCATGAGGGGATGAAGTTGCATGTCCTGAACAGTTGCACTGTTCCTTGTCCTCTACCCCATCAGCTCCCAAGTCAGGAAGGAGAACCCTCCCCACTCCCAGGAGTGCTGGCCTGGGATGGGGAAAGCCCATAGCTCTGCAGACCCCTCTGGGTGATTGCACAGTCTCCCCCACCATGCACACCATCCTGACTCTCCATGAGAATTTTGGTCACAAGTTTAGCACTAACAGACAGAAAGGGCGAAATAACGTGCTGTGAGGTGACTGGAAATGCACTGTAAAACTATTGGAGCTATTCCAAAGCAAGCACAAAATGCTGTCAGCCCAAGCCGATGGTTCACCCAGCCACTTGCAAGTCCAACCTGGAGCCTTCCCCTCCCTTGGATTTTGTCACCTGCACCTAAGAGAGCAAGCAAACACCAGCCTAAACAGCACACAACCACCCACAGTCATAGGAAAGCGATCGCAGGGGAAACTCACCTTGTAACTGCTCTGCCCGTCTTTGGTCTGCTCAGAGGCTGACTTAGGAGGCTGGATGGAGAAGAAGGAGTAGGGAAAGGGGAAGCATTCTCTGGTATTTCTCCAGCTGAGATCCTAAAGATTGGTGAGGAAGGCTAGAGACTCCCCCTTAAAGCCGAACTCCACCTTACCCCAGTATCACATGATGGTGTTCTGCTGAGTACATCCTGAAAATCTCACTGCAAGCACATCACCTTTAAACTGCACATCTGGGGGTGGGTTGCCTAGTAATTCCGAAACAAATGCAATTAAATATTGAAACAAAAGAGGCGGGGGGAGGGGGGGAGGAGAGCGCAAGGAAAAGCTCAGGAAGGGAAACAGTTTCAAATCGGTCTGCTTGTTTCAGCATTTTGTCTGCAAGTTATTGCCATCTTGTGGCCAAACTAAAGATAGAAATAGAAGCTGTTGGAAAGCGGACGAGGAAGAGATTTTAAGCATAAGGAGCAGGTTACAGAGTTTGGGTTTGGCTTTTTAAATCAGCACAACCAGCCTCTGGTCTGAATGGTGATGACTGGATCAATAAAAAATGTCAAGTTGTTGAAACACCTTGTTGTGCCACTCACAAAAAGCACTGCAGTGATCTACTTTGATGGTTAGAAAAGACAGTGAGTTGGGAAGTCCATGAGAAGTTACCCATCTAAACTTAAGCAATACTTTGAAAGTGTCCTGACAAAATCTGCAGGCTCTGTTAGGAGTTTAGATTTCTTGGAAAACAGAAGTTCCCTAACTATTCCAAGGCTCCAGATTAATTTTTCTGGTGTAAGGAGTTGCATGCTCCTACATTCTTACCTTCAGGCATACACCTATTATATGGCAACACTGTTGTGTCGTGGATAACTCTCAACTAAGGAACTATGGTAATTATAGATAAAAAATACTTACACATACTAAATGATTGGAACATTTTTTGTAGAAGGAGTCTTATAGGAAGATTTCAGAACCCAGTAGTGAAGTTGATGTTTATACTGTATTTCCAGGAGCTCAGCTCAACTGCATTGTAACTGCAGTCCTTGATGTAGGAAAGGAAAGCACAGGTTGCTATAAACCAGTAGCTGTGGTTCTGCTGACATTTTAACAGCAGCAGCCACAAGGTTAGTGCAAGCTATATATAATGCATCTCAAGAACTTCAGTCATACATGGGTCATTAGCACTGCTCTTTGACTGAACAGAGCAAAGGTGGGTACACTCACCCAGGGATCCAAGCTGAAAGTCTCATAAAGAGTATATTTCTGTCTGAATCAATGACACTAGGATATGTACAACTGAGGCCTCTCATTGCTATGGATGTGAAATGATTCATTCACACTACAAAAAAAAAAATTATCCAATATAGAGATTTTTAAGGGCAATAGATAAAGTGCTAGACAGAGAAAAAGCATATTTTTTTTTGTTATGTCAGGATGTTTCTTTCCGCTACTTCTCTGTAATGCTCTTACCCATATGGTCAAGATGGTTATTTAAAAAATTAAAACAGCATTCTGTGATACAGAATTGTGGTACTCTGCCAACAGGTATCCAGTGCAGAGATACATTTTCAAGATCAGTTCAGAATAGGAGACTTGGGTTTGCACAACAAGCTGGGGAGCTTCAGGGGTGGCTTTTGTGACAACATACCAGGAGCTGCCCCCATGCTGAACAGAATGAGTTTGATCCCTGCAGAGGCCATTCACTTAAGAGTTGGACTTGATGGTCCTTGTGGGTCCCTTCCAACTCAGAATATTCTGTGACTCACTTTAAAAAAAGAACCATTTTCAGCTAACTCCAAAATGGACCCACTCCTGGCCAGAGCAGAGATTCCCCTGCAACCTGTGGTGAGAACCATAAGGACACAAATTGTTTCCCTGCAGCCCATGCAGGCCCAGGTGGAGCCATGCTGTGGTCCATGGAGAGGAGTCCACATGGGAGCAGGTTTGCTGGCAGGAATTGTGACCTTGTGGGGAATCCACACTGGAACAGCGTGTTCCTGAGGAAGTTCACCCCATGGAAAGGACCCATGCTGGAGCAGCTCTTGAAGAACTGTATCCCATGGGAAGGACCCCACGCTGGAGCAGGGGAACATCATAAGGTAGAAGGAGTGGCAGAGACGTGTGATGAACTGACCAGAACTCCCATTCCCTGTGCCCCTGCTCAATTCAGGGAGGTAGGACTTTAGAAGAGTGGGGAAAAAAGAGTGGTGTTGAGCCTGGGAAGACAGGGGTGCAGGAAGTTGTGCATTTTTCCTTTGTTTCTCACCATTCTACTCTATTTTAAATAGATTACTGTAACACAGAGGCATTCATTTACTCCCCTCGTGAAATGCTATTGTTTCTGCCACAGAAATTTCTGAATTTTCAGATAGATATGATCTTCTTTCTTGTCCATTTTGTCATTAGTGATGAGGATCTCCATTTGAGCAGTAAATGAAGTGATTCATAATACTTCATTTTTTAATGGTTAGTATATACAAGAATTTCAAACATCGCATAAATACAGGCAAAACAAACCTCACAATTCCTCTGTTATACTATGCAAATATAATAATTACCTATAATAGATCAAATATAGAGCCTACCTGCCACTCAGTGACCTGAACTCACAGCGATGACAACAAATATTCACAGTTATTCACACTGCAGACAGATACAAGGTCAGGCTTTGAACAGTGCAGTGGAGAAATGGAAAGGGCTGCCTCAGTCATTGAGTTTTCAAACGTGCTACACTTATGAGTGTATATACATATGTATGCACACATGCTATAACCCAAGTCTTACTACAAGCTTTCTGCTTTGCCATACTACTGTGTGCCCACCTCAGATGACTGAATCTGTTGGAGCTGTGTCAGTCTTCTCTGAAGCACCTCACATACATATGAACACTTACACACAGTAAAAAATAATCACTCTAATAAATAGACATAGACCCTTTTCAAACTTTCCATTATAGCTATATAAAATACATGTTGTGCAGCAAATGCCGTGTAGCATCAGGTATTCTCTGTAAGAAAATCAGGCATTAGCAGGTCCTGGCTATTCTGTGCATCTTCAGTCTCAACACCAAGCTGAGAGTCTCTAGTTGGGGCTCCAAGCTCACACAGATGTCAAATGATTTCTCAGTAACTTTAATTTTAGTGGTGATGACTGTCAGGACACAAGAACACTGGAGTAGTAAGATAACCATTGTGTTAAAGATTATCCTCTTCCACGGAATGAATTCTTCAGTACATCAAAGGCACCCTGGACTGGAAGGCTGTGTTTGTGTGTGTGTATATGTTTATTTGTGTGAAGGCATGACATTGCAAAATTTACAATAAACAGAACACAAGTATTTCAACTAAGGAAACAGAACAGCCTGAGTAAACGAATATAGAATTGCTTTGAAGTAAAAGCATTGAGAACAAAATGTTTTTAAGAAACATGTAGAAAAAATATACCTAGACATCAATCCATTAAATTTTTTTCTCACTGTAACTCTCAAAAATGGAAAAGGTGTTGTAAAATGAGCTGTCACTTTCATTGCAATGTATTGTCATAAGCTCAGGCAACACAATCACTCTGTAAAACTTAAAATACACCAGG